TTTATATTAAAAAATACAGATTTTTTTCTGTTAATTCTTTGTATTTCTTGCTTCGTTTCCATATTCCCGTTTCTTAGCTTAAAATCAATTGAAATTCAACCATTAATTTCACTTTGACGACTAATTAATTGATTATTTTTATTTGTGCTATTGTTGTCAAAGTGTCTTTCATATGAACACTTCTTTCTTCGTTCTTGGGTTCTTTTCTCTCTGTTGTTTTTCTTTCTCCACACGTTTTTATTGTCAAAAAAATTGATTTTTCTTTCTTTCACTTATCAATTCAATCGGATTCGGAAGTAATTGTACACTTCCGGATATTAAACAACTTGTACACTCGTATTATTATACGATATGATTTTATGGTTGGCTGTTCTATTGAGGAGAAAAGACAATAGAAATTGATTGTTTAGCACATGTTATGTAATATTGAAATAAGTATCCAATCATTAAAATTCATGTTGCATGTAACGGATGTGTTTTATTTTAAAATATGATTCATTTTATGTTTTTATTTCATTTTTCGGAAGACTTTTACAAAGATATTTTATTTCGTTGAAAACAATGACAATTTGCCTAAAACGATCCCAAAACACTGGCCAATTCATTTGGTTCAAAAAATTGTAGTTTTTTTTTTTGTTTGTTTCATTTTGCATGAGAATAAAATGTGAAAAATCAGTTACAATCCATTGGTAAACCTTTGATCAAATAGAAGTGACTCAAACAAACGGTTTGCAAGTGATTAGCTTTGAGGTCACATCTAGTTGAATTTTGAGAAACGTAGTCCATAGAAGTAGTTGTTTAAAATATGGACAAAATCGATGAAAGCCCAAAGGATAAATTCAGTGCGATGTAATGCTATGTTTTATGTTGTAACCAGTAGGGACTCACTTGAAAATTGAACGCAATGATAAACGAGGTATCGCACTGTCCGTTTCATATCGTTGAAGAAAGAGAGAGAAAAAGGGAGTTGGACTGAAGAATGTTTCACTATGATTTCAATCTGGTTGTGATATTTCGTCTCGTGAATAGTATTTGTTCGTGTGTTTTTGTTCCTGTTTTTATTTTAGTTTTTGTCTCTCTTTTCTCTCTTTTTTTTTTTACAAAAATGACAGAATATTTTCTTGTCTTTCAATCCACAATTGTGCACAATGCCAAATGGTTGCTTGATTTTGTGCAAATGCCCAAGAATCATGTAGCTCAATTTATTCAGCAAATCGATCGATTCGACTGACTTGTGGACTATTTGAATTGTTCGTTGTAGCATGTCACACAAGCTCTTTTCCATCATGATCGACATTGTTTGTTAACTACTAATGGTTGACGAGATTTTCCCTATTCAATGGAATAGCCTTTCATAATCCACACAGTCTCTCTGTCCCTTTGCGTGTATTTCTACCGTAACTACTGTTTTTTTCTTTTTCTTTTTATTGTTCTTGCAGTTATTATCATTGTTTTCATTCGTTTGTTCGTTCGGTCATCCTATTCGATCAGAACAGCACATCGTATAATGTACTGATTTGTGCGATATATTTTGTTTATTTGTTGTTACATGGTTTTTTAAATGGATCAATTCCATTTCGTAATATATGCGCTTTCTCGAAATCGAAGCACTCGCTTTTATGCTACGTCCACACATTCGACTCATTGCAAGATAAGCGAAAAGAGTGCTGGATGTGCGTGATTTATTTTAAATTATGTACCCAACAGAACAATACTGTTTTAGTTGCTAGTTCATTTTATATCGTTATTGGTCACACATAGAACAGTGCACATGGTTTTTATCATTTTTTTGCATTTTCTGTTCAACTCGTAAAATATTTGATTTATTTTTTAATCCGAATAAACTATTGCCCGAAAAATATTTAAAAGCATACGAGTTTTGAATTAATAATTTTTTTGTCACATTACCAGAAAAATTGCGTTTAAATTAGTAAGCCCCAAAACAATGAATAAATAATTTCATGTTTATATGACATCGAAATTTAATTTCCTGTCAGGCTCATCTAACGATTCGTCAAGTTAGTGATAGATCGATAAATCGACCTTATAAACATTCTAGTTGGTACCAAGTACCGTTTTCAAGTCAAATTGCATAAAACTGCACTCTCTTAGACGATACTTATTTCCAAATGAAAAAAAAATAATCAAAAAAACGTATAAAAAAACAAATTGACCACATTCATGCAGGTAGTCCATAGAAGATATGAATGATTTGGTAGTAGTGGTGGAAATACTTCGAAATATTAAAAAGAAAGTAGTATGCACCAAAAAAGTGACTAAAACAATGGTGTGGTACATTTTGCCATTGATGACACCTGATAGATGTTTATGATGTATTTTTGTGTGATGAGGCGAAAGAAATTATTTAATTCTCACTTGTTGGTTATCGTTTATAGAATTTATTTTGAGCAAAAACACACACAACACACATGCCGTTATGAATTCATAAACGATGTGTTGAGCTGCTGCAAAAACTATTACACTAATTGGCAGTAATATGTCTTGTGCGATACGAAAAATCGAAACTATTTCTAGAGACGGTATCGAATGATTGGGATTTAGTCGTCAAGTCACTATCAATCACAGAACAATGCATGCGTCAATTGTTTTTTTTATAAAAGCTCTGCAAATGATAGGCATTTATAGTGCTAAAGAAATGAGCATTTTATTTCCCATCATCATCAAATCATGATGAATCGGATCGATTAAGTGGAAAAAGTGATATATATAAAATATATAATCTTGTTGGAAGCGATAATGAGAAAAATCTAATTGCAGTCAATGACAATATTTTCATTTAGAGATGGTCAAATGACATGTCAAACGTCGATTATAGAAGCGTGGAATGATCATCGTGATCGAAATCTGTACACATTTGATGTGATGCAATTGAAAAGTGAATCGGGATGCACTCTGCCACACACACCAAGAAGACGACGGCTACGAACGAAACGAAAAAACTCCTACGAACAAACGTAATGGGAAATTTTCTGACTGAAGCAGTAAGGGAAAAACGGTGGACATTCGCATTATAAAAACGCTCCTGTTTCACGATTCGTGACAAAAATTTCAAATGTCGAACCGTGCGAACCGTCGCGGCTAAGTGTTTGGTTACACACATTTTTTTTTCTTCTGTTGTTTCGTGTATTTGAACGAGAGGGCAAAAATTCACGCACTTCTAAACCAGATTTTTACTTTGCGCATACAACTTGGCTCTATGCCTTATAACTTGTGTATGCCGGCTAACGTGCTTCTGCCACAATTCTTGCCGATCGCCTTCAATTATTATTGCTGTTGAGGTTGTTTACTGTACCCCGTATTTTTTTCTTTTTTGCGCGCGTTCAGTCCAGCATTTTCACACAATCTATTCAGCTGTTAAGCAATTGTATGGCACATGAACTGCAATGATACAAATAAAAGCAAGACGAAAATGAGAGAGCCGATCGATTGTGTTGAAAAATTCTAAAGATGCTCATACAAAGTGTTCATTTGGCCGTTGTTTTATGCTTTTTTTTGTCTCTGCTCGATCGCTACAATTTCGTACATACTGATTGCATTTCGCGCTGTGTGTGAGGTTACTTTTAATTTTTAGCTTGTGTATTTGTTCACATTACAAAATATTTTCAATTGCATTTTGTGTTGGGTTGCGCTTTTTTCGTTGTCGTCGTCGTCTTCTTCTTCTTCTTCTTCTTATTTTTCGTTTTGGCTTTGTTTATTTCGTTACTACTCTCACGCCGTTTCGTTCGCATTATGTCTTTTCTTTTCGTGTTTTTTTTTTGCTTGACACAAATCGGTGCATTTCCTTGGAATAGCAAATTATATGTGAGAAATAGTCCGTTCGAACCGAGACGAGCTTAACATGAAAAATGTGATGTAAAACACTATGGAAAATTAATTCTTGTTTGTTAGCATGCTCTCGTATTGCTTCACTTTCTTCGCTTCTTTCGTTCGGCAATCGGCCAACATTTCGATCGATTGTCTTCGTGTTTGGTTGTGCATTTCAAATGTAACATCACTGAATCAATAAAACAGAATCGAATTCCTTGAAATGTGCTAAAAACATTGTATCTGATTTTTGATGCTATGTGCTGTGCATTGATATAAAATTAAATATGTGCAACGATGCCTGCATTTCTCTTTCTCTCTCTCTCTTTCTCTCTCGAAATTCCGAATGTTTTGATTACCATTGGCCAACATGTGATTGCTGTTTATTTTGGATGTAGCTATGTTCTTGCTTGTACTGCGGAAAATTTTATGCGTTGGCATTTTTAAGTGTTTTAAACATTTTCGACCAATTTTTTTTTTCTTGTGTCGTTTCAACTTGAGTTTCAGTGGCCAATTTGCAATATCATTTCTTTGGGTCTTGTTATTTCAGTGATGCGTTATGCATACACAATTAGATCTTCATTTGTCGACATTGTCAGTATTGCACGAATTTTATAAATGACATTGATTTTCAATAGATCACTTTCAGTCGGGCCTTTTTTTAAATGTTAAGGCAGACGAAAATTGGATCTTGATGAACGGATTGTTGAGGACGAGTAGTAGTATGCATCGTTAACATTTTCGTTTTGATTTCATGTTTACATTATAAATGATGCATTAGATACTTTGCAATTATAATTGCAATTTTCGACTAATTTTAAAATCGTAAAATTGATGTTTGAATTAACTACTAGTGTAATTTTCGATATTTCCTATTGTTTTTACCATATTCAATTTAAAACTAATAATATTTCTAATTTCTTGTTTATTTATAGGTAAGTTGTGGAAGTCATTTGGACACCGTTTAAATCAAAGTAAATCGCAAAAAATTTGGTGAGCATATCACTCAACCACAAAATTTTTAATTATCCATTAAAAAAAAGAACCAAGAAATCTGCTGATTCTTCCAAACAAATCTTTATCATATTAGCACATTTTACATGGACATTCAAATTTTATAATTGAACAATTTAAAACTAAAAATTCATAAAATAATGCAGAAAATAAAAACTTACCCACTTTTGTGTGTACCACATCGTACGTATATACATTTTTTTCTCCCCGATATTGGATATAGTTCCGCCAAAGCACAAATCTATCAATGAAACAGAAAAAAAGCATTACATTAATAAGCACATAGTAGCACCACATTGATCTTGTACAAAACATATGACATTTCGATTGTAAAATTTTCCATAAAAACATGAAAAAGATCGAAAATATTTGTGATAAATGTGAAAATCACTTAAAAAATACTAATCACACATGATAATAACAATGAAAAATCGTGTTAATTAATGAAAAATTGCATAAAAATCAAATGCAAATGACAGTTACCAAGGAGAACGTGTTGTATGTAAACAATGTATTCGGCACTGTAAAAAAACCACAATACTGTAGACACTAGTCGTATTCGTATGTTCGTAATGTTTCTTCATCGTGAAGCGAAAAATACGCGCAACAAGGCGATGTGAACGGTTTGGCGATCAAGCGTTTACTAAAACCGTCGATGACCGAGAGAGATATATGTGACTGCCTTTCTGTTGTTCAACACGTCCTCCTCTGCTTATTCTTCAATTTCTTCTATCTACTTCTTCTTCATCGTGGGTTAAATGATACACAAGCAACGAATACGATCCGGTTGCGATCAATTCATATATCTTTCTTTGTCGTACATTTTTAATTGAATTCAAACACTTATACAACCATACGCAGCCACAAATGCATCGAATCCAAACCACTCAAATTGTCATACAATCATATAACATCGACAATTGATATTCTTCGTGTTAAATACTTCTCTCTGTCTTTCATCTGAGTGGATTTTTTTTATCGGTTGGTTTATTCGAGGCGAGCATATTACTGTCTCTGCTTGATAAACAGTGTCTGGGGTATTAATTGCGGATAAGAGACAAACATATACATTTTCAAACGATCAAATTGAGGTGTGATTAATAGAAAAAATATTGTAGTGGGCATTGAATGCGAAATCTGATTGATTTTCAATCATTTTTTTATGTCATTTTGATACATCAATATCGAAGCAAATTTGAATAACGTAAGGGCCCATCATTTATTAGTAAAATGCGTTGGATATTTTGAGTTGAACACATTTTTATTATATATTTAAAACTTTCCAATGCGAATCATAAGCGTCTTGGCGATGTGTTACTCAATTTAAAGTTTAATGTAATTTGGAGGCGTGATTTCGCCCAACAACGCATTGGCACACCAGATAGATCATAATGGAAATTTTTTAGAGTTCGCATTCAACGACAAATCGCAAAACAACTTCATTTTGGCGAAAAAATTTTAATGAATATACGATAAAAGGTTGCAACATCGAAATGAACGAATGGTAGGGAAGAAAGCACTTACAGAGTAATAATGAAACGATCTGATCAATGATCATCGACCAAATTTGGTGCGATCAGATAAAATAAAACATCGTATCGATTAAAATAACCGATCTTCCGAATTAATTTCATTACGTTCAATCAGCAAATAAACAACTCGTATTATGAGTCAATTAAGTTGCAGTTTGGCGTGTATGTTATGCAAAATTTGCGAATTTTTAATTTCAGCATCTCCAAGCGACTCAAGTAAAAATTGAAATACATTGTACATAAATTGGGATAATGCCCATGTTACACCTGGATATTACAATAAAGTATCTATTCTTTTAGAATTTTAAGCATTTGGACGATGAGATTGTTGTAGACGACAGACTGTGAGTTTAAAGCCGAATGTGCGGCAATTCAAACGATGAACAAAACGCAAACAACGTTTTTAATTCAGCAACTATTAGACCTACCGCCAGCTGGTATTGTTTCCGATCTATCGCATTTTTCTCGCGAACAATAAACAACTTATTAAACAATATTTTTGCATAAGCACAATAGCGTTGCCACGTACTGATACAAATGCTACACTAACTCTATGAACAATATACAATCATGTTGCAGAAATTTTTCTATGAAATATTCGTAAAATTAATGGAAAAGTTAGTTGCATGCCAAACTATTCAAATCAAGTGGCCACCGCCGCCGCCGCCGCCATCGCCACCGTTGTTGTTTCTGCAACTGCTGCTGCTTCTGCGTACAGTTAATGAATGCACATTGTGCATATTACAAAGTGGAACTCTTCGGCCACAAATGCATACAGTGAATGTTGTACGCGCGCATCGCACTGTTTGCGATCTGACACACAATCGACAATACACAATAAAATAGAAATAATTTAACAATTACTTTTGAGATTGTCCTCGTGGTTTTCGTTTTTTGTTGAGTTTCATTTTTATTTGCGCGCTCGGCTTCTCTCCGTTCTTATTGGTCTTATTCATTTTGATCTTGAACCGGCGAGCTCGGCATACTTGTGTGACACCATGCAAACTTTGGAGTGCAAAAACAGTAGCCAGTTGTTTGGGATGCCTATTAAATAAACCGATCTATTATTTTCGTTACGTTCGTTCAGAAATAAATAAGGGCCACCGGTGTTTTCTTTCTGCCGACGATGATGATGACGACGACGACGACCATGAATCTCGCGCACCGTTCGCCGACGACTTTTTGTTTCATTCAATTTGTGCATTGTGCATACAATTTTCATAATAATGAAATCAATGCCGGTTTACAGTGAAAAACCATTCTACGCAAACGCGTGCCTAATAAGAGATATGTTTGAATCAACGTTCCAAGTGCGCGCCCGCTCATTGCACGAATCCTATCACACAATAACCAATGCTTCTTCTATTTATTTATTTTTTATTGTTTTTGTTGTTGCCTCTTCAATGCATATTCCGTGTTGGATTCATTGGCGCAATCATTGCATTTATTTCGATTTTGATTTCGATTCAAATTCGATTTGTCGGCGAAAGTGAACTGAAAATGTTCTATGAATGTTGCGATACTATTGATTTTGTGAAGAATGCAACGAACGATTTGGAAAGATAGAAAATAGTTGGGAAAAATTGAAACTGCAAATGCAACAAAAAGAAAACAACGATCATTTTTTTTGGTTTATTCTTATTTTATCGACCGTTGTTGATGTCATTGCCGACTATTTCAAACTCGACTCGGTTTTATTTTTCCGTTGACATATTGACTGCAGAACATTGCAAATAGCTCGTGCGCACAAAAGGCAATTATGCTGGCTTGTATTTAAATCAAATATTAAGTAATTTTAATTTGCTTTTTACCTTATAAAGAATGATTATTCGAAAGAGAAAATTGCGATTTATTCAATGGCCACGCACATCGAACTGATTACAAAGAAGACATTTCACAAATACAATTTTCGTCAATGAAAATTTCTTACTGCAACCGATAAAAGAGCAAAACAAATGAATTTTTGCTGTCACCATATCGCTTCGATTGCGGTGAATTGTTATTGTTTTCGACATAATCCCTCTTAAATATATAATGAACCAATTGATGGGCTCAAAGAATAAACGTCTTCACTACGAAACTCCTACGAAAATAATTCAAATATTTAAATTGTCCATTTGGTTTGATTCAATGAAATTTTACATATCATTTTAAGTTGGAAGGCTCCACAATAGATTGAAATTAACAAATTGAATGACTTAGCAATTGCTGTCAATTCATTTTTGACTTTCAACACGTAAATTGTGAATTAATGAGCTTTTTACCAATTTTCAAATTGCATCCAATTGAACTGTTTGTAGTGGCTTTGTTTTGATAAATTTAAATAGAATGTGGACGTATTTTGCAAACCGATGGTAGAGGTTTCATTTAAATTAGTCACTCTACAATCGATACAGATTTGAATTCGGAAATCAGAAACATGCATACGCACATTTTCTTTGTTTTATTGAGTCAAATGTCAAACAATAGACAGATGTCGATTTACGAATCTCAATAATGATATCGAGAGAAGCAAACAGCCGAAAAATAAACAATTCAATGTGTGTTTAAACAGCGGTGTGCTTTTGAATGCAGCAGTGTACATATCATTGTTGATAATTTTCAATCATCATCGAACTGATTTGAATCGAATTCGAATATTATGCATAGGAGTTCATCTTATTGATTTATCTCTCTCTCTCTCTCCTCACATCAATAGACTAATTAATGCATTGACCTTTTTGTTTATGTTATATTGACACTTATTTGGAACTGGTGCACCGTCACATTGCAGCAATGAATTCAAATGTGATACCATAGCAAATCATAAGTTTCCTGACATAACCTGCATAAAAAGACTTAAAAAGCAAGAAACTCTCTCAATTGACGGCGAATTTTTCTACGATATAGAATTTTTACTTAAGGCGTAGAAACAGGAGAAATCGCTCAGTATAAATTATTTTATTTATTATAATGATCAAATAGTGAATATTTTTTCTCTCTCAGTTAATCGTTTTATTATTTTATTTCATCAAGCTTCAAATTCATTGGAGACCATCAATTTGTTTTCTTCATTAACAAAAAAAAACAAATTTATATAGATATTGTTGTGAGCAAATGTGTGTGGGTTAAACAGTTTTTATTCGTTTGCAAATATATAAATTTTTTGTTCGGTCATTCGTAACGCATTTTGTTGGATTCCGTTTGTTTTTACCTTTTTCATCGATTTTACAACAATCATTATACTTGTGTCGCGGATAATTTTCATAAATTGGCAAATTATGGAAAGAATTCTAACGTTTTGTTGCAATTTAAACCAGTTGATTCGATTGGTCGAATGGCGACTGAATCAAGGCGGAGTGAATTACGTTTCACACAAAATTGAAAACTTTCAAAAGTAAAAGAATCGTACACATTTTATAAAATTCGATTATACGGTGATATGATTTGGCCAAGGCGATTTTTATCATTTATTGATAAATTTTATTGAACTATGACGAGGTGTGTTTATTTATATATAGTTTTTTTAATATTGCGCGTGTGTTGTAGGCGATGAAAATGACGGTGCAATGCATTAAAACGCTAATTCCAAGTGGTCAAGATGGAGATGGATGAATAAAAAAAGAAAACAAGCACACACAGAGATACGCTCATAGAAAAAATAATAGAAATAGGCACGCATTGTTGTGATTATTTGTCGCCCATCGATATGAAATCAAAAAAATGCGTGCGACTGGATTAAATTAGAAACGAGCGATGATGAAGAGAGAATATTGAGCAAGAAATCGTAAACAAAAACCCAATGCCATAAATGGTGTCAATAAATTTTCGAGCAATTTTATCATAAATTGTTTTTTATTGTTGTTGTGTTGACTCAATGACAATGCAGGGAGATCAGGATCGGCATTTGAATTTATGCAAAATTAAGTGTTACGATGAGGAGATATAGAGAGAGATGACTTATTAATTTGGACTATAAATTACAATTGGCCAGGTGATTGTAAGAGATGAGTGAGTGAGCGAAACGACCACTTTATTCGATCTTTTACCCACTGTTTTCGAACAAAATAGCGAAATTTATGCGATTGCTTCATTCTTGATGATAGCTTCAATT